GCCATTTATTAATAGATAAATAGAAAGATCATATTTCAATCAAGTTTACTGTAAGTTTAATATTTTTCCTAGCTAGAGCATGTCAACACAAGACTAGCAAAATTGGAATCACAAATTTATCACATTTATAGCTCAAGATATATAATTTAGGGGCTCTTGCGTTTGTACCCTTGTTTTGTATCGAAATTGTGATTTTGCCCCTATTTTTTTACTGTGAATTTATGATGAGGACATCAACCCCGACACGGGAATGGCTACTCCAACTGAACCAGCACAGGCGCCACCAGGACCACTCACTCGAGCTCGTGCACGTGAATTAAACTTCGTGATGATTTTGAAGAATGAAGGACCAGAAGTTTCCTAAGTGCATGCACCATCTATGCTCATGATGAACCTGGCTAGAATAATGTCTAGGTCTTTGCGCCACCTATGTGTTTTTTTAGTTTTGTCAAGAAATAACCAGGAAGGTGTTTGCGCCACCTAAATCGAGAAAGGGATCAAGGAGATGGCGTGTAGGCTGTTTGGGCGCCTATTCACGCCTAGTGGGCAGGTTTGGGCGCCTACCTTCCTCATGCCTCCTCCCCTATTTAGCAGGTGGGTTGCGCCCCTTTGTGCTTTCGGGTTTTGTTTTTCTTAAGTTAGCCATTGCTACTTCAAGCTTCGTCTTCGTCGTAATACGGAACCCCACCTTGAGTAATATTCAGGGTTGCTCGCCTCAAATTCTTGCTTGTTCTTCGATTGCCAGCAGGAATTGATCTTCGTGATCAGGTTGATCTAGCACCAGCAAGGTCAATAACCATCGGGAGTTGGTTCAGCGATTGCTAAGGCGCCACGGACTTGTTCGTCGTAGTCGGATCGCGAGGGTCGACACCCACCAAATCGTAGTTATCCTCCACTCACCGAAGGATTGGGCACTCCAGCTCTATCAATTTACCCCTATGATTTCAAAACGAAGCACTAGTTTGCCCCTGCTCCGTCATCCACCCATAACGGTGTTAAACTTTGTACAAAAGGACATGAATGCCCATGCGATTTTGCCCCTGTTTGTTATGCTAATTGTGATTTTACCCTAATTTGGAATTAGACTTTTTTCTCTATGTGCACATAGCATTTTACCTATGGCTTAGAGTCTGACGCGTGTGGCCAGTCAGAGCTGACCAACACTATGCATGTGCATCGATCTATAGACCTATCCTCTTTCTCCCTTTGGTCTACGAAGACCGGGTCTACAGAGAGAGAAAGAGAGAGGGGGTGGGTCTCTATACCAATGATAGGCGGGACCCGTAAGGTGAGGTGTCGCCCATCCATTGGCCAAGGCGACGTGGCCTGGGTGAATGGCCTCGGTCCGTCCTCATCCCCCTATTGGCTCGGTCGCAGGAGAGGCAGAGAGAAAGTGTGAGAGAGAGGGAGAGAGGAGGGAGCAAGGCAGAGAGAGAGAGAGAGAGAGCAGCTGTGCGCCGGCGTCGGTCTAGTGGGGTGGAGCAGAGAGGGAGAGAGGGTAGAGCAGAGGAAGAGCGCAGTAATGGCGGCGGCTTTGGCAAGGGCGGAGAAGGAGAGCGAGCAAGCAAAGCGGTGGCGAGAGGCAGAGGTGAGAGAGGGAGCTACGCACCCGCCACGCAGCGTGCCCGCCGGCCATGCCACGACGCCCGCCCAATGGCACCCGCCGCGCCGTGAGCTCGCACGGCCGCAGCGCCCGCCGAGTCAGGCCCCCGACGCAGCCGCCGCACCCACCGCAGCACCTGCCTTACCGTGCCTGCGCACCCGCCTCACGGCGTGCCCGCCGGCCATGCCGCGACGCCTGCCCAGCGACACCCGCCACGCCGTGAGCTCACACGGCCACAACGCCCGCCCAGTCGCTCCCCCAACGCGGCCCCTGCACCCACCGCAACGCCTGCCTTGCCACGCTGCGAGCTCGCATGGCCGCAACGCCCGCCCAGCGGCGCCCCCGTCACGGCCGCCACACCCACCGTAGGGTCTGCCTTGCCGCGCCCACCGCCCTGCGAGCCCGCCAGCCATGCCTCCCCCATCGATGTCGCGCGCCCTGCCCAATAGGGCGGATTTGCCCCCATCGGTATTTGCGAGCATGGGGTCGCGAGGGCCACCATCGCGCCAATGCGGGGTTGCTGGAGCGCCATGACTGGCGGGCGAGGTCACCAAGGAACACCGTCGTGCGGGCGCGGGGATGCCGGAGCGCCATGGCCGGCAGGCGTAGGGGCGCGCGACGCGACGGTGCTCAGCCGCCGAGGCGCGGTCGCCGGTCTTCTATCCGCACGGAGCTTACGCGTCAGTCGCGAGCAGATAGCAACGAAGAGAATGAGCGGACAAGAATGAAGAGGAAGGAAGCCATGCGCATGCTGCCTGTGGACTGCAGGGAGAAAGAAAAAGTAGGGAAAACGGTGTTTTTGCCCATGCGGATGGGATAACTGTGATAAGGGCATTTCAGTTATTTCGCATCTGATTTTATGTGTTTTGTTTTTTTAAATCGTTTAATTAGCCTCTAAATAATGGGCATCCAAACCATGGGCAAACTGCTCCTTCGTTTCAAAATAACTGGGGTAAAATCACAAAGTTGAAAAAATAAGGGTAAAATCACAATTGAACTTCTGGACAGGGGCAAAAACACCGTTTTCCCTATAATTTACAAGATTGTAAACATTCAAAAAGTATTTATCTAAATACATTTTAATCACCAATAAAAAATACTAGAAATTGTACATCTCATATTTTTATAAAATACTACACTTTATAAGGAACACAACAAACTTTGGTTCACCAAAAATGGACATCTAGAACTCCACTTATGATTTTTCAAAGTTAGTACATAAATCTATGAAAGAAATAACAAAAACCCTAAACTGCTCTCACTGACATCAGGGACCGACAGGTCAGCGGACCCCACGTGTCAGTGACCCAAATACAGAGCACGGTGGTCGGCTGGCGTTATCTCATCGACGGCGAGCACTCCGGTGAAACCTACCACACCTACATGCTTGGCTCACCAAGACATGTCGATTGGTACCCATGGTGACTGCTCGGACGAACCGGAGCTACCTCGTCGCCGGCCATGGCGGCATGGCAGCGCTGCGCGGAGGTGCGATGGCAGTGCTCGGCGAGAAGCGCACGAGCTTCGTGGTGTCCTAATGAGTCTATCGAGGCTACTGTGACTAGGTGAGATGCTCCGACGAGCTCTGCCCGTGTGCGCGGTGGTGCGGCGGTGAGAGCGCGGCGGTGCTGCGTGTCGTGTTCCGCGCCGGCGAGACAACAAATCTCAGTAACGTCATGCTACCGGCTAAACTACATCCTGACCAAGCCCTAACGCAACAACAGCGAAGGAATGTGCATGCAAGCTCAGCAGCGGCGAGCTCGCCGTGGAGGTGGCCATGGGAGCCGAGCTCTTCGGCGAGGACGGAAACGGCGATTTCACCCTCACCGTAGCTCATCCGGCGCTGCAACCACGTCGAGGATGTAGAGGGGAATGCGGTGAAGCTAGCTGCGAGATGGAGGCGACAATGGCGCGGTGGAGCGGGCGCTAGGCGATGGTGGAGTGGTGCGGGTGCTCGGCGGCGCTCGGTGGTTCCACAACGAGCGTGGGAGAAGGCAGTGGAGAGGGAGAAAGTGGGCGCGTGAGTGCGAGAGAGGCGCGCAGCATCGCAGATAATGGGCGCCAGCGCGCTGCGGCGAGGGCCCATCGTCGGCCAGCGGCGGCCACGCGGCGGCCTGCCTCTGGCCGCGGTCGGCTATGACCCGGCGCGACGCGGCGTTCAGCAGCGCCCGATCTAGTGCCTGACAGCGCGATTTCAAAGCCTCCAATCTCCCAAACCAAAGTGATTTTGTGCACACTGTCAAAACAGAAATCGTAGAGCTATATACCAGCTACAAAGTTGCTTAAGACATCATCTTTTAATTTGCAACCATTATTGAGTTAGATCATCACAAAGTCGGCTGCGTCGACACTGTCAGTTCAAATAACGTTGCAAATTTTCCAAAGTGCTAAAAATAGTGAAATCATGATTCTTGTGAGCCAATTTCAAAGCAGGTTAGGAGCTGAACTAGCCTATGACCCAAAAATAAAAGTTGTTCCTCTCATCAACTACTACATCATCAACTACTACAACTTTGATTTAGTGAACACATCCATGCAAAGTCTCTATGACATAGTTCAACCTAGGTCAAACATACTACTTTCAAATAATGGCTTACACTAGAACTTTGACTTAGTGACCAAACTAGCCCTAGTTATGAATACCAAAGTTATTCATAATGACATTCTAAACATGTTTAATGTATTCCTAAGGTCGCACAAGCATTTCATACATTGGTTACACATAAAACTTCCCAGGTCAACATGCATATCATCACTTAGGAGCTTAATTAGACAAAGTGGTCTACATGAACAATGTTCCATTAGTCATCCTAAGTGTAGCTAAGGAGTTTTAGTGACTAACATCAACCACTTACACTTATTCACTCATGATCATAAGCATACACAAAGGAAACATAAAATAACAAGGCATGTTTCATATGTTTCACATGTAAAAGCTTGCATATGAATGCTTGATGCTTATGCTCATGCAATGCAATGCAATTCAAATTATGCAAGCCTAACATCTAGGGTGTTACAGACGCCGGAGTCAAGCACAGAAACGGAATGCAGCCACGGGCATTTGGACGCGGGTGTCCGTCCGGACGCCCGGGCGTTAGTCATGCCGATGATTCTAGGGCCCGAGAAGGACTCCCCACATTATCCAGTGAGAAAATAATTAAAATAAATATTCCAGGCCGGGCTCGGGTGGATAAAAGAAGTTTTTTGTGCAGCGAAACATATATACTATTTACTAAAGCTCAAGGGTTCCGAGTCAAGCGGAGCCAAATTTGCTCAGGTCTAATATAGGTTATAAAATTTTTATTGCATTCATTTCGTGTGCATAGTGTTTATTTGTGTGCAAAAATATTTAAAAATGTGCATAAGCTCGAATAGGTTTTAAAATCCTTTTAAAAATCTATTTGCAAAATGTTCTAAAAATCCCACAGCTTAGTTTGGGCCCAGTATCCTCCTCTCGGCCCAAACTCCCCTCTCTTCCTTTCTTGTTCCCAAGCCCAGGCCGCCGGCCCAACTCCTCCCTTCCTCCCTTACCACATGGGCCGACCCACCGCCACCGGCTCAGCTGCCTCCTCGCTACCGCCATTTGCCTAGGTCGACTTAGCTTGATCGTCCGACACTGCTTCCCACTCCCTTCCCCTCCTCTCCCTCTGACAAGCGGGCCTCTTTTGTCACTCCCTATTTTTCTCCTTCCCCATCTCTTCTTATTCCTCTGATTGGAGCACCCGCCGCCGCCCTTCTCTTCTTGTGGGCGCATGCCCGCGTGACCACCCGCCCGCACCTCGTGTGTTGCCCTCGCCCACGTCGTCCCCTGTGAGTGACTACACCGCCTCGGCTTGCTGATACTGAAAAAATACAAAACAAAATTAATGCAAAAAAGAAAGTCATTGTGCATGGTACATGAAAAAAAATTATAAAAAGACAAGAAAAAAACAGCCAACCATACATCTTTTAGACACTTTTGGTATAAATAGTTGTTGATACTTGAATTATCGCTGGAAGAATCATCCTGCATTGACCAACAAAAAATAAGTACATGCAAATATAGAGCATATAAAAACTTTGAAAATACAATGAAAAAAACATTCAAACATAACACTCACTTCCGAAACAACCTAAGTTTCTGAAAATGATTGATAGGAATCGTAATCCATAGATGGAAGCTAAGAACACTGGACATCTTCAAATCACCATTTTCAGAATCACCAGGGTAGATAAATCAACTACACCAGCAGGCCTTTTCCGAGCCATCTAGAAAATAACAAACAAAATATGAACAAAGAATAAAAAAATATAAAACCTGATAAAACTTGATGACTGATGAACCAAGCAGTAAAACTGCAAGACACACATAAGAACCTGCTATCATAAAAAAATCTAGTAATTTAACATCAAACTAACAGACCATTTCTATGAACTATAGAAGTGAGATAACTAGTAGACCATTTATAAGACTATAAGTAATTAAACATCAAACTAACATACCATTTCTAAGAACATTCCTAAAAATAAACAAATAGCCGTTCCAACCCAAAAATAAGCATACAACTACAATCTAGGTAGGTAGATAAGCTAGATAACAAGTAACTTACTCTTCAAAGCAGATTGATAATGAGTTGAACACACCTGAATATATCAGTCATGCTACAGGTCTCACAAAATAGTGACAGGCCTTACAGATAGAGAGTATCATGCTAGATAGGTAATGATTTGAACACAGCTGAATATTCAGTCATGCTACATCAGGGAGAACTGCAACTATTTGCAGACTAAATACAACTACAAATTTTACACCTACAAGAACTTACTGTTTGGAATATGGCTACACTATTTTCAGACTACTTATAGCTTGCACATAGATAATCATTTTTCAGAAAAAACCAGATTGCAGCTTGTGCAAACAAGATAACATGTCACACTAGAAATATTAATCTCAAATGCAAAACAATCCACAAGCATAGAAGGGAGGGGAGCTGATGCTGCAGAGCCTGAGCAGAGGGAAGGCGACGATGGACTGGGAAACAGCTCAACAAGTCTGGGAGAGAGAGAAAATCGACAGATCCAGGAAAGCTCACGAATCCTCTCCTATACCTCTACATCCTCCCCTCCCCCCCAATATCACCAATGCCCAGCATCAATCAACCAACAGCCCTATGAATCGGATCTCGTGACCGCATGTGCAGAACACGGCGGCAGAGACCCCGCATTCGCGCTGGATCAAAACCCCGGTGACAAACCTAGAATGAGCAAGGCATCCAACCACCGCCACCAATCACAGATTCAAAACAAATAAACACAAACCAAACATCCAGAGACATGAATAATGCGATGCAAACCCTAACAACTAAGATTTACTAGCACCACAAAGGGAGCAGACACAACGTTCCTCGCCAAACCCTAGAAATCGCCAGTCGCCGCCAACGGGGAACAACAGCACCGGGAGGAAGACGAAAGGAAATGAAAATGAGCAAAAAGGGGAAACAGACGCTACACATTCGGGCACGAATCCCAAAAAAATCAAATAGTAGCACCAACATGCGAACCCCACATGACAGACACAAAGCAGACTGGCGGAGAAAGATCAGGACCAACACATGTCAGATCCAAAGGCCAGGAAACCGAGCGTCAGATGCCGGCAAAACAACCAGAGTGTTGTTTAGCTTTTCTGTTTAGTTATAGTAGATTATGAAGTTGGCCAATGTTTCAACAGGCTGCGCTCCTCAGCACAACCCGCCGCTGTGCTCATCCCTGGAGGGAGAACTGCGATCAACGAAATCAGTATGTCTGGGCAATGCAAGTCTAAGGTCACAATGAAGCTCGAGAGAACACTGGTGTCTGGTGGGTCCCCAAGATGAATGTGACTAGAACAAATAGCAAGACCGCCCACGGTGTGCAAGGTTCAGCAACATTGACAGCCTAAATGCGAAATTAGACCAATCTCAATAGGGGTTCATTGAGTTTCATTGACATTAAATACGCTGACATGACATTGTATTGATCAAGAGAGAGATTATAAAAGTTTTATGAGAGTAGAGAGAATTTTATGGAGATAAAACTCTTCCGCACTATTTTCAAAATATGAACGTGTTGAAAACTAGAACATGAAACCCTATGAGATTGACCTTATAATACTAAAAACGACGGCATCCACGTTTCGCACACTGACGGCATGCGCATCACTCACTGACGGCACAACAAATTGAGTGTGGCCCGGGACATGGACAAGAGGTCAGCATCGGGAGCCTCAGCAACGGCAAAGACCAAGGCGGAAGTATCGAACATGACAACTGACGAGTGGCACCCGTGGAAGTTCATGTCTCTGGGACCGCTCAGTTCCTTTGTTTGGGAACACCTCTGTTGATAACTCTTTATTTGTAGTCTTAGTGCCATATGTGTGTCTATTGGGACTAGTTATCCCAAGCCTTTGTAATCTGGTTTCTTTGTCTTAGTTAATATATTTGGAGTTATTATTAAAAAAAAAAGACTTACCGGGTCATCAAGTTCCTCAACATGGCGAGTTGGCGACGCACAACGTGAATAACCAAAGATTATCTGATTCCACTGGAATAAAGAATGCGGCTATGCAATTCTTCGCGTCCTTTGGATGGCCTTTATTTCACGAATTAAGTTATGAGACAGTTTTGTTTAATAAACTCGTTTAGGACATTGCCGTATGGTATTTATACTAAGGTGTAAACATAGTTTCAGAGACGGAGATGGAGAATATGAAGTCGACGGCTGGTGCTAGCCGAGACGCAGAGGAAGCAGATGCAATATGTAATAAGAATATATGTCTCCCTTGAAATACTAGGGAGAGAGAACAAATCTGTACTGTTACATTTTTATTACATATCATTGTAATGTACACATCCCCTGTACCATTCTTCAACTGCAACAGCCAACTTTGAAATATACACTCCGTGCTAAACCAAACGAAAGGGAAAACACTGCATTGCAAACATACACATGTACAGGCAAATAAACTTCCGGGATGATCAGATGCTACCCTTCTGGTGCGTGTTTTGCACAGAAATGAGAGGAAAGGTACAACCCATCGTGACTTGGAAATGGAACCTACGAAGCAGGGCTCTGTTGCGCTCGCATCACCAGTTCTTCTGTCGTTGTACCAATGATCTCGTTCGCACGCTTCAACGGAACGCACAAGATCCTTCCAATCGAGTCCTGCGAGAAAAGGAAAAGCCTTACTGGTGCATATGGTGAACTGTGCGATTTAGTACACCATGCAACTATACCTAACCATTTGTTATTCAGTTTTAATGCACGTATCATACTATTGACACAGTTGTCTACCCAGGACACGAAAACTAGAGTGCCAAGAGCAGTGAAAAAATAAGTTTGAGTAGTAAAAATCAGATATTGCTCATGCTCATTCTAGTCATTTCTATTTGGGGGCTTTTGTGTTCATGCCCCAGCTCTAAGGACCAATGGTGATTTTGCCCTTACTTTTTCAACTTGGTGATTTTACCCCCGCCTTTTCAAATTGAAGATTGAGTTTGCCCCTATACCGTTAGAAGGACCTAATGGTGTCAATTCGATAGTAAAAAAAGACAAATTCCCTTTGCGGATTTGCCCCTTCATTTCAAAGATCTTTGTATTTTTACCCCCTGTTTTGACTTGAATAATTTGGAGAAATTTTGATATATTTAAAAATATTGACAAAACAATTGACAGAATCCTGTATATATATTTAAAATTTGACCACATTTTGACAAGGACCATTGACAGAATCTTCCCAGAGACTTCAGAGTTTATCTATTAGCAGCAACAGATGACCTGCAGGACAGTGCAGAGTGCTTCTGCACAGGGGCACGCTCATCTGCTGGAAGGTTCAACTCATGCTGGGTGCCTGGGTCGGATGGCACGAGGAATCAACTCATCCTAGCACGCACCGCTGCCGAAAGGGCCAGCACCTGCCATTGTGCGTGTTGGGCTGTTGGCGCTGCAGGACGCGCTGCTGCCAACCGTCCTGCCCCACCCACGCTGTTGGCTTCCGCTTCAGAGCCTGCCCCACCTCTGCCCACATGCCAGTCCCACCGACAGCTGTCAGTCACGAGTTGCGACTGCCGCGGCGCTGCGCCCCGCATTCCAGGGCCCCACACGCACTTGAGTCAGCTGAACACGCCATCACGGAACTGCCCCCACGTAGCCCCTATGCCCATCCACTGCCCCCCTGTAGCCCCTATGCCCGTCCCCCCCCCTGGCTGCGCCTGGCTGCCGCCCGCGCTGTGCCTAGCCGAGTCTAACGCACCGCCCAGCTTCCTTCCCTCACCGTCGCTCATGCAATAAGAGGGGGAAACCAAGGAAGGGTCACAAGGCCATGGCTTCTCGTGAGGTAGTAGTGGGGTAGAATGGTCCTTTCTCCAATTTGCTAAAAGGTTTTTTCTTTCCTTTTTCTGCTCTAGCTAACAGAGTTAGAAATTGGGGCAAATGGGAAAAAATGTAGGGTAAAATCACAAAGTTAAAAAAATAGGGGCAAAATCACAATCAAGCTCCATGGGAGAGTAAGCAAAATGTTCTGATCTCAGCCTGCTCCTTCAAAATCAAACAGCTTAAATATGTTGGATTTAAATAAAAACAGTTAAAATCATATGATAATTATCAGCCTGCTGTAACTAACTGGAATCACATGTAGTATCCCCCATGTTAGTGGAACCTATGAACCTCCAATTTCAAACAAAGATGCAGCCATGCATGTTTCATATAGCAAACATGGCTTACATGCTTGGCACCAAACAAGACCAATAAGTGTTAAACCTATAAACTGAAGGTGATGCCACTGAAGGTGATGCAGTTTGCAAACAATGATGACTGTGACTTAAGTTAGTAATATATACTTCAGCATCAGAAAGAATTGATTTACCCGATGAACAATGCTAAGTTTCTCTAACTTCTTTATAGCATCATGAACATCAAAATTGCACTCTGCGCCAAACTCTTCTTTGATTAGCTCTTCACAGTGTAAATCAAGATCCTGGTAGGAAGAAAAAATGAAAATGAAAATTGTCAGCTCCCTAAATTTGCAGTAATTTGTCCTAAGGCAAGGCAAAAATATATATATATAGCACAAGTAGCTGCTGTACACTCCACTTGCATGGCTTTTGCTGGAACACATCTTGTAACCACGATTACACGATGTGTAATGTGTTTGAGCAAATGACATCCAAGTGGATCCAAATTTTCAAATTTTGTTGTCAAGCCCTCCTGACAACTACAAGTCTACACACAGAAATTTCTTATCACAACTATTCTGCACAGATCAATTTTGTCTAACTATAATTGCTCATCTAACCTTCAGTCAAAACAGTGTATTTGATGCAACATGCCACAACCAAGAATCACACAAAAGGTTTGGGTTTCCCCCCATTGATAAATAGTATGTATTGGTTTACCATCTGGATAGGATGTGCTGCATTCTAACAAAAAGACAAAACAAACCTGAACAATGCTACTCAGCTACAGCTGTTAGCACAACTCCCAACAACCTAATAGTAAACAAGGGCTGAGTTGCTGAAATGTGTAATGAGTGAATCTAAAGAACCAGGTTATCTTGAGGACACAGATGTTCAATATGTTCAAAGCAATACAAAAGGAAAAAATAATGTAGTGCAACACCAGTTACTTGTATAGTAGCTTTTCCCTGCTCCATTAAAATGTAGTAACAAATTATGACCTCTTTAACCTACACCAAGGATGATGGGATATCAGTGAACAAAAGGCATAGGTATGAGCTTGTGGTTTGAAGTACTGTTTTCAACTATTTCATACTTCTTGCTGTATCACGTCATCACATAAGTGAAGAAGAGTTCCTTTCCCACTATCAAGCTGTTTGTCATACATTGATTTTGTAATCAAATTCTGATAAATTGTCATATTTTGTTGAAATCTGTATATAAACAAAAAAAAAATGTGTCATATATCAGCAAAAGATTAGAATCACTGCACTAGTATGGAAAAGGTAGCAAGATTAATAAGGGGAATTTAAAACTTATTACATAGCACTGGAGTTCAACAATTCATGGAATTACTTCACCAACAGAGGAGCTCAAGGTAAGAAGGAAAACAAAGCTGTCAATTAAGCACTTACGTGAAGTATATCTTAGCACAGTATCCAATCACACCAGACAAGATTGCTATTACAACCCATACATCAGCTTTTGGCATTTCAAGAGAGCCAACTAGAGTGACCTGCAAGTAGTAAGCTATTGATATAGTAAAACATCACTGTAGCTGGATAGCCAAGACATTAGAAACATACCAAACCGATAACAGCAGAAATGAGAAACTTGACCCAATCCATTGGTGTTAGTGATGGATTTTTCTTCTCTGGCTACAAAATAATAATTCTGGTTATTGATAACAACCGTAGAAGCAACTAAAATGATAATCAAACTGCGATATATCAATTTAACTTCTTGTGATCTATCTTATCTTACAAGAACAATTTCCATGTCAGCCATTGGGATATTCTTGAAGTGCTTTACAAATATTCCTCGATCAGGCTTAGTCTTTGTACCAGCCCTCCTGTACATATACAATCAGCCCAGCTAATATAGCTGCATCAAGAATAAAAACACCAGAGTCCATCATGAATTTGAAGGTTGAGCAAACAGAACATTGAATCTACCTGTACACCACAATCATCCTATCGAATGTAGGTTCTTGAATTTTCATCTTACTCATCAGATTTTTCAAACTGTCATCACATGGGTAAAGATACTGCATGTTAGATACTAAGTTTGGTAGTATAAAAAATTTTACTAAGAACATTGAGCAACCTTAATTCAATTTTTTCTAATCGAATTCTCTCAACAAACAATTCTGGATCTTCTTCATCTTCATTAATTTCATCATTCTTCTTCGTATCATTCTTTGGCTTCAAATGTTGTTTCTTAGAAAACCATCGGTCAATCCTGTAATAAAAATAAGAATTCATTGGTATAACGCCATACAGTATTTTGGTATATTGGAGTAGATTGTGTTAAAAAAAACAAAAGGTTGCTGCAAAGAGTGCACATACCTGGTAACCCTGAGCAATGACCTCCAAGCTTGGGATATCATTACATCTACTTTCTCAATGAAAAAGTAGTCAGTTGTTCGATCAATTCCAATCCCCCGACGAAAGATGATATACTAAGAGATGTGGACAATGAAGAATGTGACTTGGGAAACCATGAGAAAAAACAGAGGATGATGAAAACATCCAGATGCTATTGTAGATTTCTAATCATCACTCAGATGTTATTGTAGATTTCTAATCATCGCCAGGATGAAAAGAAAAGCTGCATGAACGAATAATACCTTGTCTGAAAATTCTGGTAGATTGTCATGTGGGTGCTCTTTAAAATATTTCGTCAACAACTTCTTGTCTAGCTACATTTCAAGGTTAGAAAATAGATCGTCAGCAAAATACTAGTTATGTAAGTTACTAAGTTTACTTTAAAATGTAAAAAAATTCAAACCTTAGATTCATCAACTTTGATCGGAAGATTCAACAAATATTTTCCAGATTGCGCAATATCGAACTCTTCATCTGATAACAACTTGAAGTTGCTCTTTTCCATCACCTGCTTGATACAGAACACAAATAGAAATGATTAAACAAAACTAGTTATGCATGAAAAAGCTAGTTGTTTTGGTTGAGGTCGTTATTTTGCTGTATACAAAGGGTGTGAATGCATTCTAAGAAATATGAGTGCGTGGGTGTGTGTTGTAAGGGCTCTTGCCCCTTTTTCTTCTCAATACAAAGATACGCAACTCTCCTGAATGATTGAGAAGAAAATGGTAGCTGAACATCTCCTAGTCACCTAAGAAACAGGAATATTATCTACATCGAAAGGACAAAAGGTAGTTTTATCAGTTATATATCAACACACTGCAAAGCTGATCTGATCCAACTGAGTTAATTGGTGTTGCAGGTTTTCTCTTAAAAAGAATCATCTTATAATAAATATAAAAGGGTGGACTGTGGCATTCCAATTTCCTTCTTAGGAATAGCGTGGAAGTCACGTCCAACGGGAATCTAAATCCTTTCAAAGCACCATATTCAGTTAACTTTAAGTATGAGCTACATGGCAACCACTCAACAGTAAGGCAGTGGAGAATGTAGACCAAGCAATTCATTTCATATGAGGATTAGATATTTTTCACATATTTTGAATGCTTTTGGCACAAAGTAACAGTGAACATAATGTGCTTAGCAATCCATTTCCCATGAAAATTTAGGTCTTGAATCATAAACCATGTACTTAAGGCCAGAAAGTCAAAGCTCAGTGGTGCGAATCAATGCATGGTACTCCATCTGGTCCAGTTTATAAGGCATTTCGTGTATGCTAAGAGTCAAACTTTACAATCTTTTACCATTTATTTAGCCAACTACTTTTAATTAGTGTACTACGAAATTGATACTATTATATTTGTAATCAAATGTACTATCAAAAAATTATAAGTTTATAATCATACACAATATAATATAAAATAAATGAATGGTCAAAGTGTAATTTAGGAGACCGTGATATGTCAGACTACGCCTTATAAACTGGACTGGAGGGAGTACTAAATAGGAACAATGGTTGCCACCATGTGGCTCTTGTTGGTCCGTAGCCTGGATCAGTTACAGCTGCGTGTATCCATGTTAAATATTTTTTCATGTATTTTATGCATTCGGCGTAAAGTAATAGGGAACAAGTGTACATAAAGATGAGGAAGACGTTGGTCCATAGTAATAGTGTAAATGCGTAATGCTAAACAGAGGAATATGTACCTAACCGACCTGAAAAAGATGTGTCATGAAATTGAATTCGAGGGTCTCGATTTCCTCTGATGTCAGGTTCTGTTGCTCTAACCTCTTCTCACCAGAAACAGGATCAAACAGTGAGTACAGTTGCTGCATCGAGAACACAAAACAGACAAATTAACCATCTGAACCAAAGTGCCCCTTTGAGCAGTCAAACAGAGAACTAACAAAAGAACAACGACAAAACGAAGGCTTGCCATGAGGTCTTCGAACTGGAGGAGGTACCAGGCCCGGATGGTGTACTCCACCTTCTTGCACAGCTTCAGGAACTCGTTTCGATCAGCCTCATGCTCTGCGTGCAATTTTCAAACACCAAATAGTTAATCAAACGGGGAATCCTGGATACGAAGAACATTGTCTGCACTAATCCCTTTTGGCTTTTGCAGCATAAGCCTCCATGGGATGGGAGCATCACAGATCGTCTCCAACAGACGATTAAGCATGACTAACAGTCGTGCCGATGGCCACATAGAGGAAACTCTACTCCTGGGAGACCAGAACCGACCAAATTGACCGCTGATGCTTGGAGCCGAATGAGCAGAGCACTACCTAGTATGTACAACTGAGTAGACGAAATCCGGCCGACACCTCGCGCCGGTTCCCAGACTTCCTGTCAGTCATAGACCACGAGCACCCTCGCAGCGCCACGCAACTGCTGCTGCTGCTACAGAGAGTAAAGAGAGAAATCGGGAGGAGCGGCGGTAGTGGTGGCTCACCTATGAGGTATGCGAGGCGCATGACGAGCTTGGGCTTGAGGATGGGGATGACGGCCTCCCGCTCCATCCGGATGACCTCCCGCGCCACCCCGTCCTTCCGCCCGTCCATCGCCGCCTGCTTCTTCTCCCCCTCCGGCATACGCCCATCCGCCTCCGCCGCCATCCGCGCCGGCCGCCACTATTTCTCAGGTGTAACCGTATCAATCGATTCGGCTGTGCGCGTTGCAAAAGCCAAAGCCAAAAGGTAAGAGACTTTTCCCCCACGTGTCTCTGTAAAATTCAATGATCTTTCGTCATTACTTGATTATTTGGTTTCACTTCTAATAACGTCGTTCAAACTAGCGTCAATTCTCAGTCTAAAAGCGAAAATGTTCTTAAATTCAAATATATTATTAAATTTTTTTAAGCATCTTAACGACTTCAAATGAAAAAACTCAAAACTAGAAAGTTATAGATCTCGTCGAGATCTATAATTTTCATATAAAAATTATTTTGATTTAATTCCAAAAAAAATATGATGATTTTTCTAAGATATATTAATCATATCAAATCATATTTTTTTACGGAATTAATGAAAATGATTTTTATATGAAAATTATAGATCTCTTTATTTAGATTTATAACTTTTTAGTTTTGAGTTTTTCATTTAAAGTCGTTAAGATGCTCAAAAAAATTAATAACATATTTGAACTTAAGGGTATTTTCGTCTTTTCACACTGCATTTAGCGTTAGAGCCTGAACTGACGGAAGTGGCATGGAGAACCCGAAAAAGTTGGAGTAGTGGCGCTAAAGACCGCTGAATTTTTCCAGAGACACACAGGGAATTACGATCTTTTATAATGACACACAGGGAAAAGTCTCAAAAGGTAACCGCTGCTGGCGCCTGGTGGTGGTGCGCGACGGGGTGGCCCTAGCGGAATTATTATCTGGAGGGGCTCGGCCTCGGGGGCGGAGCACGTGGCGGCGGCAACCGCTGTCGGCCAGAGTCCCTGGCGGGACGCGCGGATCAGTCATTGAAAGGTGGGACTGTGAAGATGTGGGGCCCGTTGGCAGTGACCCTTGCCGCGTTTGGGTGCGTCGGCAAGTGTTGGCATTAGCTATCTCCAACAACATTACCCAAAATACAAGACTCATTTCACGTTTGGGTAGCGTAAATGGTTTCATATCTATTTTTGGTCTTCTCCAATAACAGGACCCAAAAGAGAACCTTTTCTGCAAATAAGTCTATAGGAGAGATGATACTCATATTTGAGTTGTGTCTTTACTGTAACCCAAAATAGGTCTCGCATATAGATGTTATGTTGGAGGCTCATACAGTATCATTCGAGACCCATTTTAGCTGCTATGTTGGGTCTCACATGTAGGACAACCATTGGAGAAAGTCTTACCGGAATAGGATTGGTGGGACGGGGCCAAGGAACAGTCAAATGCTATGTTGGGTCTTGAATTTTTTTTAATTTTAACACTTTTTGAAAACTAATTTTAAATCTAACATTGTCAGTTTTTTTTAAAACTAACACATTTGGCCGCGCCTATTACCCTAACGCGGCCAAATGCATGTGCCGCGCCATGCATCGTGGGCGCGATCATGGGGTGGCGTGGTGGACGACCGGATTCACGGCTGGCCGACGGGGCAAGGCTCGCCGCGCCATCGATCTTAGCGCAAGCGATGCCGCTACCGATCGTGGCGCGCAAAGCCGAATATAACCCCCACGACCGATCCCCTTTGCCGAAAGCAACAAACCTCGCGCTGGCGCGCACCGCGCGGCCACGCCGGCCAGCCGTCGAAAGCACGCCGACGCCAGGCATTTAATGACGACACGACGGCAGCGCGCCCGCCGGTCTGACCGGCGTGCTGTGCTCGCACGCCGACGCTCGACCCCCTCCGGCCATGCACAGCAGCTACTCGTCGAGGCCTACGCCTGCGCCTTCCGGCCCGGTCTAACGCGCCACCGCCGCGAGGTACCCCTAATATAGTTAGTATAGTTAATAAAGTTAGTAAAATTAGTAAAGTATAGTTAGTATAGTTACTAAAGTTAGTTAGTTTAGTTAGTAAAGTTAGTTTAGTAAGTTAGTATAGATAGTAAAGTTAGGTAGTTTAGTTAGTACAGTTATTGAGTCTAGTTATACATTGAATTTAGTCTAATTAATTGTTATAGTTAGCCTTGTATAGATGTTAATATTAGATTATTTAGTATAGTTATAGTTAGAATAGGTATTAATATTACTATGGACATTACGTATGACGATTTCGACGACTTGATAAAGTTTTTTGAAATGCTTTTGCAGATGGATTGTTGTGTTAGAGTTTTATACGGAGAAAGTGTTTGGAGAGAAGATGGTATGTTTGAGGATATGGAAGAAAAATTGGAATGGTTTGATGAACCTCCTAGCTTCAACGACCTTTGTGTCCGTTTGAATGCAAAGTTTGGCGGTGATTTCACACTAAAGGGGAGGTTTGATACTGGGAAGACTAGGGCACACTATGTCCTCATGCCCTTGCGCAACCCTGCTCATTGGTCCCGCTACACTAGGGTTCTCCAAGGTTCCAATGTGCCTATGGCTGAGGTAGTGGTGGAGAATGGGTACAGGATGCAGAGTGTTCAGGAAGGCCCGTCCATTGATGGTTTTGGAGGCAATGAACAAAAAATAGGGGTCAAAGGGGAAGCAACTCAGGATAACATAGATTTGGACGGTCAGTTGACGCAGGAGCAGTTTTATTCAACTGTAGTAGCTGTATAAGCAATTACTTCGATGTGAATGAGTTTGAATGGAAAGAGGAGAAGCAGGAGGAGGAGGACAAGATCGATGATGTAGTTAGCTATGATTCAGACGATTCTGATGATGACCAAGGAGGTACATATACTATGCCAACACCGGCTGATGTCGTGCCAGTACCGGTTCATACTATGCCATTACCAGTACCAACTGAGGTATTGTATGGTGTCTAGGCTCAGGGTAGACTAGTCACAGATTTAGCTGCAAATGATACCCCCTATGATTCATGGGCCAGAATTAGCGAAGTGCAGCAGTATGTTCCACCACCACCTTACACAGCGACTGAGCTTGAGCAACTAAGGTCCAAGAACGTACCTTTTAGGGGCGTTCCAAACTATAGGGATGTCAACATGATGGATATGACAATTTGTGACACTGGTCTCCAAATGTGTAGGAATTCATTGTATGATCATGAGAAAGAAACCCTTAGGAAGGGGATGATATTCAACATAATGTCAGAGATGAAACTCTTCCTTCAAACTATGTTGTGTACCACCATAGGTCGTACACCGTCACTCATTCGGACCAGGAGTTGAGGTACCACGTGATATGCAAGAACGGTTGTATGTGGAGGTTAAATGCATGAAAGAGATAGAGTGATGGCAAGTGGAGGATAACTAAAGTTGTCGAACCCCACACTTGCCTAGATAATAGGGGGAAGGAAAATCATCAGCAGTTCACTGCACATTACCTTGCCCGTTGTATATTGGGGCTCGTTGATGAAAATAACGACATTTCGGTGTCTTCTTTACAACAGTCCATATCTGGATTCGTTAAGTACGATGTGACGTACGGAAAGACTTGGTGTGCTAAGCAAATTGCTCTGGTGATTCGATGGGATAGTTGGAAGGAAAGCATACAACAGGGTGCCCCCGCATCTTATGTGCAATGCATTACTACAACCCTAGCTTGAAATGGTTTGTGGACAGCGGAGGTGTGTGTTTTTGGGACCCATTGAGGCATGTCCTCTATCGTGTGTTCTGGTCGTTCGCGCAAACGGAACATGCATTCCAGTTTTATCAGCCAGTCGTACTTGTTGATGGCACTTTCCTGACAGGAAAGTACACGGGCACCTTGATGATGGTTGCTGCTGTTGATCCTGAGGACCAAATAATATCCATGGCTTTTGCTTTGGCAGAGGGAGAGAACAATGAATCATGGTCATGGTTCATGCGGCTTCTATGTGTAAGTGCTTGGCCCATCTCGCACTATATGTTTGATCTAGGACCGTCACACAACGCTTCTTAATGCTGCAGCTGAGCATATAGATGGGTTCCCGCCTCTAGTGCATAGATGGTGCATGAGACACTTTGCCGCTAATTTCTGGCGGCGTTAGCGGAAGCAGGAGGTAAAGGCTCTATGTTGTGTATACGTACAGAGCACTAGTTCAAGGTAAAGGCTCTATGTTGTGTATGTACAGAGCACTAGTTCAAGGAGATAAAGAGAGAACTAGACAAGATGGTAAATGCAGCGGGAAAGGCCTGGTTAGAGGCACAAATGGAATAGAAGGCTCAGTGGGCTTTAGCATATGACGAGGAAGGTTTCAGGTATGGCATCATGACCACTAACTCCTTCGAGTCCTTCAACCGTGTATTCACCGGAGTTCGATCGTTGCCTGTGTCTGAAATTGTTGAGTTCTCCTTTCATAAGTGCAACGAATATTTTGTGAAGAGGTGGGAACTTGCACAGAGAAATATAGCTGAGCAGGGGCGTTTTGGAAAGGTCGGAGCTCAACATTTGAAGGAGGCCGAGGAATTGGCCAAGCAGCACACCGCCGAGCCGTATGGACCCCGCCGCCATATCTTTAGTGTTCGGGGCAAGGGTGGCACAAGCTTGGACGGTGAACGTTATGGTGGACGAAACTACCGAGTTAATCTTGAAAAGGTAGAGTGTAGTTGCAACGTCCCTCAGATCATGCATGCCTCTTGCTCTCATATGATCACGTCCTGCAGGGTTAGTGGGTACAACTATGAGGATCTATCATATATGTCACCCTTGTATCTCTATTCGAACACCGTTAGTATTTGGGAGATGAGCTTCGAGCCATACCTTGACCTGACACAGTGGCCACCTTATAATGGTTATGACTATGTGCCGCATCCGGATCTAATGAAGGTAGGGAAGGGTAGGAGGAAGAAGAAGCGACTCAAGGGGGGACATGGACGCTATGAGAGGGTACGGCGAAGACATATACGGCGGGGGAGACTTCAACAAGCCCCGTGGCAGAAATCTTTGCTCCATTTGTAAACAATCTGGTCACAAGGCTAGCAGGCATAGAAGACGAGGGCAACAGGTGATTTCATATTATGTTCGTATTGCATAATAAGTAGTTCAAATTTTGCAATGCTATATAATGTTAATCTGAATATTGTTAATTTAAATACT